AAACCCGGTTTAAGCCGCACACGGGGTACCCCCTTGCTCATAGCCCTGCCGAAAGAAAGGGATTCAGAGAGGGAGACATTGGCGAAAGAAAGAGAGAGAGACAGCTGCACATACGCACGCCCACCCACAAGCACGTGCACGCGCACACGGGCACACACACACACACAGACCACACACGCACACATACATACGTACGTACATACATACATACATACATACATACATATATATGAGCATGAACATGAACATGAACGTGAATATGAATATGAATATGAATAATTATGAAGGTGAATATGATGTGCGAGGAAGTCTTGAGCGTTTTTGCCGGTTCACTAGCAATTTAGTGCTGGAGGCGCGGGTCTAGGAGTCTAGGTGCCACGCATGCTGAGGGGTCGCATGGCTACGACTGGATCCGGAAGGCCAATGATGAAAAGGATCGGGCAGCGAGGCGAGAAATTAGTGCCCTGGCAGCCGCTTGCAATGTCAGGTAAGTGCCAGTCAGTGTCGCACACGAGCAGAGGCCGAATTCTCTATCCGCCCTCAAAAACAAGAAAAAATGCTGGGCAAAGCAGAACACAGGAGCACAACGTCTCTTGCATGGTATAACGAGTACGAGACTCTTATAATAGTTTGTGGAAGCTTTGCACGCAGGGTATTTTTGCAAGCCTGGCCAAATGGATGCTGGAGCATTCAAGTGCCAGTCATCGTAAAACGCACCACCTTCCGAACCCTCAGGTGCACTGACAAAGCGAGTTACGGAAGCTGGAGGTTTCCAGCTGCTCGGTTGACATCGGTTGGCTATGCGACCGAAGAGCCTACGGAGACTTTTAGGATTCTTTCAGGAGGGGACAGCAGTGAGCGGCCACCACGGACGGCCAGCCACAGCAATTGCACGGGATTGAAGCGTTGGCACGTCCATTTTGCAACGCCATTGTCTGTCGGAATGCTTATTGCAGTCGAAGAAGCAGCATTGCGCAAACACAGACTAGTGCCCGAAGCATTGCAGTGAGGCATCATGAAGGTCAGTCATATTAAAAAGCAGGGGTTGCGTCCCAGGGTCGTGATCTTGCAAGGCTTGGAAGCACGATCGTTCCACTTTGCCATGTCCACGAACTGGTGGCTGGAACAAAGCTCCTGGCTATAGTAGTCTTCAGCTGTCCTGGAAGAGTGTTGGGCGTTATGTTGTGACTACCGTGCGTTATGCTCGACATGCACCCAGCCTGAAAGACAGGCCGGACATGTGGGATGCATCCCTTGAGTAGCACTGCTGTAGGGGGATCTGTTGCTTTGACCGTACTCAGGCTCTTCTCACCAAGCTTGTCTATGGGCGCCGTGTGGCCGTCGTTTGGCCAAGCTGTGTAGGTGACATTATTAGTTTTTGTTGTTGCAGCGCCCCACGAGACTTTTAGGAGGCATGTCGTCCAAGCGATGCCAAGACTCCGAGACGGTTTCGGGCAGAGTGCAGCTAAGCTTTCCTGAGTAGGACCTCATCCAAGGAAGCTTGGAGCATCAGGCGGTCATGCGACGAAGCTTTTCGTCAAGCGAGGAACTGTCCTGGACGTGGCCGTGGAGGATTGTGACTTTTGCAAACTCGGTCAGTTGCCTTAAGCTGAGTCGCCGCCCTGCTGGCCGGATTCACCCGCAACTCTTTGCTTTAGCAATCGTGTAGAGACATGCTATACTGCAGACGTTGCAGACCGAGCTGGCTGTAGCGTCAGACCAGGCTCTAAGCCTTGCGTGTTCCCCCAGCTATAAATCTCCGGAACTTCAATGATTCAAGAATTAGGATGCTGCGCCGACCTTTGGTTTCAGATCGTTCGTGCAGGAAGCACTGCGTGGTCAGAAAGTGGTGGCCGTAAATGCAGCTTCTGCCTACCATGCTGGCGGAGGGTTTCAAACTGGTGGGCGCCATGCGCTGGAAGAAGCTATGTGTGGACGACTTAGCCATAGCGGCGGTGACGCGATCGTGGGGCTTGCGACACAAGTTCCGATTGTTTTTGAGAGGCTCATGAAGGCTTATCACATCGCTGCCATGGCCTGCCCTAAGACGCCCAGGCATTCAAAGCACTCTTTACGCCTCCTTGGCAAAAGGCGTCGAGTTGGCCGAGCAGGCAAAAATCAGGCCGAGACCTGCGGTGACCTGCGAGAGCCGAAATGCGCAAGTGCGGTTGCTTGAGGGCAAGTTCGCCATCCCTTTTGGAAGTTTCGCGTCCACAGTCGTCTATGCTCGGCAGGGTACCACCATGGGTTCAACCGCCCAAGAGGCCCAAGGATGGCCAGGAGACTTGGAAGAAGTTCGTTTACAAGAGGCTCGCTGTACGTAGGTTCAGGATGGAACTTGCGTCGGATATCTGGAATTACTCGCACCACGGCAAGAGTTCCTGGTTCCTTGACTTCATGCCCGTCCGCAAGGATTGGGTGTCACATCTTCCCGACGACGGTGCGCTTCTGTCGCCAGCGGTGGAGGTCTTCCGCAGCGGCACCAACAACGGCTACGCATTCCAGGCTGAGCGGCTTGTCCGGTGCAAACGCAAACGTGTGCAAATAGCACCGCAAAAGCTAGCAAGAATAGATAGATTAGATAGATGATATAGATGCAGCTGGAGCTCCTATGTACGTGATACTGGTATGTATGTATAATCAGGCAACCCCGCAAAAATGCAGTTGTCAGTTGCCAGTGCCTCCCTTGCTCAGCTTTCTACCGAGATGGTGCAGCAAAGAAGCTATGAGTGCTGTTGCAGGAAAAGGCAGTCTGCCTCGAGGCAGGTCAGCGTGTGTGCATCTTGACATGCTGAGATTGTCGAGGACTCGTAGTTCAGGTTCCAGGTGTCGGTGTTTACAGGAGTGAATGCTTTGAGCTTCTTTCAGAGAGCAGTGCAAACACTGGTCAACACAGGCTGATTCAAAGAAAGGTACATGCATGCTTGTGTTTCGGGGTTCTGGCACGTGAAAGGCGGTGGTGTCCGTGGCCATGCCAAACTGCAATGCCAAGATGTCGGACAGCCCAGTGGATGCGCATCCAGACCAGGAGAAGTATCTTGGCCCCAGCAATATGTCATCGCTCCGATGTGACTTTACAATCTTACCGGACGATCAGCTCCAAGATTCTGGCTTCTCAACATGCATGCACTTGCTTTTCCAGGTACGCCGAACAGCTTGCCGATAAATGGCGGGCAGTCATGGCAGCGGCATCATCAAGACCCGATGCGAACGTTCTGGTAGTTCCCGATGCAGGTAGGTTGGTCCAGCCGCACGCTATTTGGGTGCTGTCATGGCTTTGCCACCCACGCTCAGACATGGGTAGATCGGCACTGAAGCGCTCCACCTTACTCCTCCACAGCCGACGAGAGTGCGGCCGCAGGCTGCGGCGTCTTCTTCAATCCACCAGAGAAAGTTGGTCAGAGCTTCCGGATCGCAGTTTGGGCACAGCTGGAAGGAAGCTCATGGCTGCTAATTAGTGCTGGAGCCAGTTCAGAGAATCATTGGTGTAGCAGCTCAGGCTTTGGAAAGGTCTTGCGGGATGAGTTTTCCGGACGCTTCGAAGGCGCATGGCCGCAATCCCAACACAACCGGGCTGCGTGACTGTCAAAGCCTGGACTAGAGCCAGGAGTTCCGATGCCCTATGATGCCTGACACCCTGTGCCTGATTGAAGGGTTTCTTCCTGTTGCCAGGTGTTGTCATCGCCTTCCCAGGAGGCCTCATTTCTGCCGGTACAGATCTGACAACCAAGTCCTTGTGGAGCTAGTGTGTACGTGCTGAGTTTGCCCAAAGGAGGACACCGATGTGACATACACGACATGGCTAGTATTGTTCCGCAGAAGAAGTGGTGCACATGCAAGCCAGGAAAAGCCGGCGAGGCTTTTGCAGCTGCAGCGGTCGAAGTCTTCGAAGAATTCGAGACATTGAAGCCTCAGCGACTTTAGTGACTATTCTGGTGCACAGTTTAACATGGCTCGAGCAGACAGCCTTCTCCGACATGACTTCTCGAACGAAGAGTGCTCTGAATTGGAGAGCGCTCTGAATTGGCCCGACGTCTTTTGGTCAATTGATTGTTTGGCAAGATATTTGGTGGTCCTGGGCGGCCGGGAAATTTCAGGGTGAAGCAGTGTTGGGTGGTTTTGGGTTTCGGAAGCTTAGGGCTTGAGGGCTTTCGGGTCTTGAGTCTTGGCAGTTTCCAGAACGGAAAATATGGCCAAATCAACGGCGTCCAAACCACACACGGTTTCTTGGCAGGACGCCTGGTTTCATCGTCTCACTCGTCTCACTATCCTGCACCGGATACGGGAAAGCTACTGTTTGTGCAGGCGTTTTGTCCAAAGTGCTTGTGCAGGTGCTTGGACTTGATTTGGCGCTTCCATCCAGCGTGCCGCCTAACCTGAAATGCGAGTGGCAAACTTGCTACAGACATTGCTTACATTTGCTCGCCGCAGTTTCACATGTTGGCTCTTGGTCAGCTTCGCTCCAACCCAGCGCCGAAGTGGGGCAGCAGCGAAACGCAGTGCAGGAGCAAGAGTGTGGTGCTCAACAGGTCGGGTTTCAGTTGCTTTAGTTGTTGTGTTGCACAGTTGGGATTGAAGTGACAACGAAAGCGATTTGCTGCACCAAATGTACGAAATTTGGGCTCAACGTCATGTCAGCCAATCCGAATAAAAACGCGTGACATTTTTTCCTCGTGAGGGGTCCACGTTATCCTTCGAGGCTCCGATGCTTCAGAACTAGACTTCCCTACGAGACCCGTCGATGAGGAGCTTCACAACGTGCGACGTCTGCGTTGTCGTCGAATCATGGGAGGGAAGAGCTGTTCACATCTTCGAAGCTGTCGAGCTCTTGACCCGGTGTTTTGAATGAGCGTTGGTCTGCGCAGAAAGGTATCCGTCGGAAATGGTTTCAGGGCAACTGCGGACACAGAAATCCGTTCTGGAATGTGCTTGGCGATACGTTCGACGACTCCACGCATTTAGCCTTTCGAGAACAAACTCGACTTCGAGGTCACAACCGAGCACCGTTTGCATTCGAAGGTGGGGGCTCCAGCGCTGCGATAATGAGGTCGTCAGACAGAGGCCCTCATCAAAGGAGTGGGGAATGCAGCACACACCGGTTAGAACATGTGCTTACGAAGGCCAGCATCGCGGACTCTTCCAGCCGCTCTGAGATACCGGTTCCACCGACAAGTGGACTGAAGTCGCTCCATGCAGGCCATCACGGTGCGAGCTGTGAACATCGTCGGCGACATCACGACTTCGCTGACATCCCGAAATCGGCGCACTCCAGACCACATTTCGAGTTCGATTGTTCGATGGCATTCGTCCTTGCCTTCGCAAGGGTCACAATATTTCTGTAACGAACGGAAACGTCAGATCTGACAGAAACCGCAGATTTGCCACCGATGTGAAGGCTACCGGAAGACTGCGCCCGGGGATGTATACGTTCCTTTCGATTAGCGGCCGCAATCGTGGCTAGCAGTTCTGTTCGAAGTGCCAGCGAAAGTGCTTGGTGCTTTTCGATTGGTAGAGGCTGGGTTGATCACGCCGGTTTTCTACCCTTGACGGAGCAACAGGCCGGGTATGTGGGGCGAAAGCTTTGATCGTTTCTCTGCCACCCTCCCACCCTTCGATTTTCGTCTCTGCTTTCAGTCTGCTTTTGGACCGCGATGCATCTCCGCAAGAAATGGAAACAGTCGCGTAGGGATGCGCGTGCTGTTTTCCATCAGCGGCTGTTGTCATGTCGGACGACTTCCAGCTCGACTCTATATTTATGACTGTGACACACTGTGACTGCGAGCCGGACGTTTTGCAGCAAGTAACCGTTGATGGTTAGGTCAGCAGTGTGTTACAGCATGTCCATTCCGCCACGATTCCTGTAGACCAAACAAGGCTGTTGTCGCTTATGAAAGGCATTCCAAGCGTCAGGTATAACAAACACGTCAGAGCCGCAACGTCTTAGCAGGACTGCCAGCGCCTGCTCGAAATGCAAGGAGCCCAGAATCCTTGGCACGCCCTAGTGACCATTGGCGGGCAGCGACATGAACTCTGCTTGTATTGCTTTGCAGTGACTGAATTTTTCGGTCTTGTGGACGAATCGCAAGACCTCTACATGTTGCCAAGCGGTTCTGCCTCAAGGGCCGAGCTTGTCCCTCGAGCCGTCGCAACCTCGGCTTGATGCAGTTGCATGTCAGCAGGCCTCCTTGTAGCATCGACGATGCTGACCGCTGCCGAGGCTAAGTTCCGGGTGAGGATGAACATCATCCGTTCGGAGCCTAGTTGAGGTCTGCATCAATACGTCCACCGCAATAGAGACGGAGCAAAGTCACAGGGCAGCGACTTTGCCCGAAGAGAGACAATGACAGACACAGCGGCAAGACACCTCGCACGGGGGATGCTCGGAGAAGTTGTTGCCGTTTGTTGTCATTGGAGTTAGTTTGTTGAGTTTTCGTACACCATCACTCAACCGTCAGAGGCCAGGAAGGCAGGGAGCTACAGTATGCGTTGTGAAGCAGCTAAGCGCTCGACACAAATGCCATGTGCGACGTTCGCGGGCATTGACACATACCCCTCGCCTCACGCTTCGGCCGGCGTGCGATCCGCATGCTTAGCATCATCCCGTCGTTTAGACGGAGTCTGCACTTCCAGGCGCCCACAACTTGCGCCCAGCAGACTTGGCATTGATCGGCCAAAGCAAGCCGAGACCTCAGATTGGGACCAGGTCGAGCTCACGCGAGCTCACCAGTCGCATTGAAAGTTTCTGCTGACACCACTTCATTTTTATACGTGAAGGGAACGGCTTCCAAAAACAAGTTCTTCAGCCAAGGTCCGATCCATACTGCATTTGCAGACTCGCCGGGCAGCGGCCTCAGCTGTTCAGCAGTCCTGGACCTGGAGGCCTGAGTTGTCCAGCGGAGCCTGTGAAAAAACAAGGCGTTTTTTCTTTTGCTGCGTGTGCTTTCCCTTGCTTGGAGTTTCAAACTCCAGGTCGGAAGTTTCAGAGAGTGGTGGGGCGGCATTCACTACCTATGTTGTGCTGTTAGACGGGTAGCTATCATTCAGGAATTGAAAGAGGGCGAAGAAGGAAGTGGAGGGATACAGGCGTAATGGCTGCTTCGCTGCTGCTCTTGTTCGCCTTCCTGGCTTCTGGTTTGGGGTCATTGAGACGACTGTCGGCCACGTCCCGCCAAAGGGCCACCCCTGGCAAGCTGATGGCATGCCTGCTTAGTGCAACCTTTGCAGACCTGATTCTTGGCAGACTCGGCGGTCGGTCCACCTGCTTAAAGTCAAGATTGAACAATCATTTCATCTGTTTCCCCAGGCGGCCGGAGACAGAAGTCCGCACCCAGACAGTCATGAAGACGTCGGAACCCGTATTGTGCTTTGCTTGCTTGCTGTTGTAGACAGGTCTACTCCTGCTTGGCAGCCTTAGAGAAAATGTTGTCGGGTGACTTTGATTCGCATTCATTTCTAGGCTAGCTGGGCTGGATGCTTCGGTCCGGGAACAAGGGGTTCTAGGCAACAAAAGCTGCAAGCTACACTGAATGGTGAACTTGACGCGGCTGCAATGGTAGGCGAGATCGTCAAAGGCAGCGGCTAGTCAGGAAACTATGTTGCCGGCCGTAACATCTTGACTGCGTCGTCAGCGCATGCTCGCTGCAAAGGTTTCAGCAGAGGTCAAGACACCCGCATAGCAAGTGCAGCCTGTAATTCTGCTTGAAGCAGCATCTCACGACTTGACCAGCCATGGTTGCATGAGCCATTTCCATGCAGCACATAGTTTCATGCTTGTTTGCTAGCGTCGAGTGCCCATCGCATCAGCCATGTCCGCTATCAACAGTGCGGGAGATGCTTTCGAGGCTTACACCAAGGGCGAGTTCGAAACCTGCGGACAGTACTTGGAGCAGATTCACAATTTGAAGACGGCTGCAGACGTGAAGGTGACGCACAACATCCTCATTAACGACTACTTCAAAGCCGGTTGCGCAGACCCCCAGAACCTGCTCACTCTTCTGACCCAGGCATACGACCGGGCAAGGGAAAAGGAGAAGAAGGACAAGGGCAAGCGGAAGAAAGAGGAGGAGGATGAGGAAAAGGGCTTGTGCTCAACAGCTCTTGCTTCCTAGGTTGGATCTTTCTGCTTTATAAGTTTGCTGATCGGACTCAAGTTCACCCGGTCGTCGTGCACACCAGGATGGCATCCGTGAAGATGATGATCTCTATGTGCTCCGGTACAACCAAGCGCTGTTGTGTGTTCAGCTGCGATACTATGTGCAGGCTGGGAGCTTTTGAGTCTTTCTTGCCTAGGGCTTAGGGCGGCTTAGGGGGTTTGGAAAGTCGCAAGCCTCATCGGTCGCTCCTGTCTCAGGCACGACAGATTCTGGAGGAGCTCTTCGAGACCCTTGCACGAAGTACTCGCATTTTGCAGGTGTGGGTTTATTGTCCAGTCATTGCAGCACCCAAGCCGTCGGTAAGAAGCCGGACACGTTGCGCCAGCGCGCTAATCAATCTCCTCACCGCCATCACGTTTAATCTGGCCTGGTGTGGTGGAAATTCTGGAGAAGAGAATGCGGCGAAGAGCATTCGTTCAGATTTGCATGGGCATGTCTCAAGCTGTGCAGACCTGAAGGCCCATCCAGGCCAACGTCAATAACACCCCCGAAAATATATCTGCAAGGGCAGGCGAATTGGTACTAATTTCCGATTGTCCAGCTGTATGCACCTCTGAAGGAGGTTCGCTTACCCGAAAGCTCAGGACATTCAGAGGGTCGGCCTCGTCTTCTTTCAGTGTTGGTTCGTAGGCACGCAGCTCACCAGCAGCATCCCAGGCTGCCTCTCAATGCCCTGTGGCTGGAATCATCCCGTTCCTGTCGTGCTCCCAATTACGACTCATCGTCAAATTTTTGCTTTCTGGTATATTCTCTCGCCAACATCCCACCTTCCTGCAGCGGACGTGCGGCTACGCGTGCAAGGATGCCTGAGGCTAGATCTTTCGGGGAATCATCTTTGCCTAGAATCAATCATTCCTGTGGGTCAAAAGCAAGATTAAGAAAATCGACGACAACCCCTTGTTCAATCTTCGAACAAGCATAGTTACCCGAGTAGNNAACACGTGAAGGCTTCTGAGCGAGCTGGGCTTGCAAGGGCCGGCATGGCCGGCCGAACACCCACAATGCCTACTACCTACACCTAAGTCGATGCGTCGGCCAATACCTCCATCAGTACTCATATACACTTTTACCAAACCTGAGCATATGCATGCACATACCCATAAGCACGAACATATGCACATGCAAACGCAGATGCACAAGCACTTCGAACGTAGAGCCTGAGCCCTAAGCTCCCCGCGAGCGCCGTACAGATGTGTTGGGCATGCAGTGGACGCGGAAAGGTCAAGAGGGTCGGGGTTGGATTAAGATTACGCAAGGGCCTCGCGGACAAGCTTGAGCACTGAAAACACGGCTGCTAGCCGTGTGGGCGAGGGTCGGGGCGGGTGGGGAGGGGTCGGAGGGCAAGGGGGTGTTGGGCATGCCTTGGGCTTGAATTAACTTACAACTAAAGGGACTCACACACAGGCTTGAGCATGGAAAACATGCTGCCAATGGGGGCAAGGGGGTCGAGCATGCCTCGGGCTTGCATTAAGTTGCGAAAATACTAAGCGGCCTTGAGCGCAGGCTTGAGCACTGAAAACGCGCTGCCAACCGTGGGTGGGGGTCGGGAGGGTCGGGACGGGGGGGGGGGGGGGGGGG